CTGGAAGGCTAACCAGCAAACTGAGAAACTTCTAAGGGAAGCGGCCTGCTTCGACTAACTTCTTCCCTCTCGGCTTGGCAAAAAGCCACACCTTAATACTTGGCGTTCGCAGACACTTTGCATTACGTTAACGCTTATAATTCTGGCCGGAAGTAGAAAACTAAGAAGTGATTAGTAGATTAAAATAAAATAACGTTGTAAAACTTAAGTCCTTACAAACAAAATGGCAAAACGAACTTTTAACGAAGAATAAATCAAGTGGAAGTAAAAATACACGTGTAACAAGCTGTGATATCACTCTTTGAGTTTTACTTTAGCAGGAGGAGGTAAGCTCCTAACTGACAACACTCTTCTTTTCCTGCAAAGGTTTTGTTTTTGTTTTTGTCTCTGTATACTTACATTTAACCAAGGTTCCAAATAAATAAATGTTTTTTAGAACCTCCGTAAATTAAAATTGCCTCTCACACGATAAGAAGGCTCTGCTCTTCAATTTTCATAAAAAGGTTAAATGCAATACGTAAAACTTTTAACAGAACTATACAAAAGCTACAAGGTATGTAGATAATCTGTAACTTATGTTTATGTAAAAGTTAAGGAAGAATGAAAATAACGTTGTTAATAATGGAGATATTTTTCACGCTTATCTAGTACATATAAAAGCCACTTTAAAAAGAAGATGGCTTTTTTTAGTCAAAGAATAGTACGAATGTAAGACAAATTGTGCAGTGAATTAAAACTTATATTCATATGCAATGAAAAGATACAGTCATATCCACATAGTTCATCCTGTTAGGTTTAAAAACTAATTTCATTTTAAGAACTAATTTCATTTTAGGCCATTTCATAGATTGTAGGCTATTCCAGCTTCTGATAACTGTCCTTGTTTGAATTTTACGGGAGTTTAATTTACTTTAAAAGTTTGAATATTGTATGATATTCTATTATGTTATATATATAGTATATATATGCTATGAACATTATCTCAACGTTTGAATATTAATGAATTATATATATATATATATATATATCAATGCATGTGCATGTGTAGGAAATGGCTATGCAGCTGTAACTGTATGATGTAACTGTCACGTACCATCTAGATGAGCGCTCAAATGAGAACGCGGACGAAGAAGAATACAAAAGTTTGATGATGTAACGATTATTCTTTTGTTATTAGTTTTTTTTAAATTCAGGTAAATAAATCGCAACTATAAGTAACTGTTTAGTAATAACTCGGGGTAAGTATTAGTTAGAGAAGATTTACCCATGTATATATATATACGTATAACTAAAAGTAAAAGAATAAAATTATAAAACTACTAATCCTGATACAAATTTATCTTAATCAAACGAAGGTACTGATCCTATGCTTAGCATACATGAGTAAATCAACACCAGTAAATTATAAAAGCATTTAAAATCTAACGAGGAGAAATCTTCAAGCAGACCTGGCCCATTAATTGAAACAGGTTTATCGATTGAAGGTCTGCTGTAAATTAAGCACATTTCTCATCGGAAGGAAATTTATGGTTTGCATCCAGGTAATCGTTTATGTGCGTAAGATTAGCAACAAAATTAAAATCATTAGTAATTGTTTAATTTGATTAAAGTGAAATAGAATTTATAGGTAAATAAGTCGTTTCCTCTATGCAAACGTTTTACGGGGAAGTATAAAATGGTATCGTAATGTCATCGCTGCTGTAAGTATAACTGTCATAAATGCATACGTAATTTATCAGCTAAAACGAAATTTTTGTTTTAAGGTCACAAGATTTTAGAGGCCATTTAATTTAACAAATAATTTCACTTTTAAGCAGTAGCCTCGGTAATATACACCAAACTATGAAATTTCTCTGACTACGACCAACCCTCGTCAAACAACTTGTTGAAGTCGTCTTACTGATAAGGCCCACCAGCTGCCGAGCGGTAAAGTCGCTGAACACTGGTAGTTCGGTCCGAGGTTCGATCCGCGCAACGGGCTGGTTGCCTGGACGTTTTTCGTGGTTCCCCAGGTGTACGTGATACGAGCGGTTTCCCTTAGAAAGTCCTCCACGAAGGCATCCCTCCCCTTAGGCAGATAGCCCTCGAGGCTTTGCCATAATCACACACACACACACGTCCCGCTGATAAATTTCCTGCCCCTCTACCTTTTATGGGCCCAGTCAGAGTAAGATACTAATACTTGTGAAAATTGCAACACCATGAAGGAATTATGCAAACTGAATCAAACTTACAAGAAATGTAAAGTGAGGTAAAATATACCAATGGTTAGAATTACAAAGCGATTACACATGCGACGAAAGAGAATCGGTCGCTTGTTTCATGTGTTCCATGTATATGAAGGACTGTAAAGTTGCGTTGAAATATGTTTACCGTCCTCTGTCTACTGTGAAAGTTTAATTAGTGGTGAATATTCTTCATCAACTAACGGAATTCAAACAAGGTGTTATCTTCTGTATGCGAGAAGGTGGAATTTCGTATTGAGAGATCGTAGCCCGCAAGCAGCGTGATTGCACAACAGTGATGCATGTTTGGGAGAAATGGGCAGGAGGTTCGAAATAAGGCAAAATCCTAGCAGTGGGGTATGCAATAGCACAACGGCACGGGACAACAGATACATTATCTGCATGGTTGTGAAGAATAGTACAACCTCCTCTTTTGTGTTAGCACAACGTTGGAGCACGGCTACAGTTGTGTCGTCACCGTCAGTTGTAGCACGAACTACGTGCAAAGGTTCCTATACGCAGGATTCCTCTGTCACTGAATCACAGATGCATCCGACTTAAATGGGCAAAGCAACACAGTACGTGGGGTGCCCTGTGGCAACAAGTTGCCCTCTCCGATAAATCTCGCTACAACCTGGAGTACAATGATGGAAAAGTACTCGTCAGAAGTTACAGAGGGAAACGTCTGCTCCTACAGTGTGTTATCCACAATCATACCGTACAAACGCCTGGCATCATCGTGTGGGAAGTTATTGGGTATAATTTCCAATAATATACCTTTTAAATAATTACCGTTTAGATCGAGGGCCACTTGTAGAATCATTATATATTTTTGAAGCAGGAAACGTGAAAAATGTGCAGTGCCCTTGCCGGCACTCGAACCCTGGACGTCTCGAATATGCGTCGAGTATGCTTCCAATTACACCACAAAAGCATGCGAAAGGGAAGAAGAAAATACCTTATAAGTGGTACAGATCACCAATGAAATTTTGAAACTGCGTATACATGTTTGTAATCATTTTATTTTTTCGAAATATCTATTTCGCATTAGAAATGGTGTATAATGTTTTATAATGAAGATTTCATTGAATTAGTTTATTATGGCATATTATTCAACCACAGTGCTTTAGAGGGGACCTTAACAGAGAAATTTCTAACATTTTATTCATACTTGTGAATTCTAATTTATTTATACTTGGGATACACACATACAAAATAAAACAAAAAACATTACAGATCTTGTAAAACGTGTTCCATTTAGAAATCGAATTTACGATTCAAAATGAGGCAGAAGTAACCATTTGCTTTTCATTTTTTTTAATGTACGCAGAATATTTTACTAGATGTTCAGAATTCTGAAGCTTATATACAGAAATTCATAACCATATAAAAGCGAAGCGCGTGTTATAGGATATTTTGCGTAAAATGATCAAAAGGCAATGCATCTTATACATATATATGATGTAGAGATATATGTATATGATGTAGAGATATATGTATACCCCTCCAATCGTATTCAGGTAAACATTAAGACACAAAGCGAAAGCATTATCAATGAATTCCTGTGTTCTATTTTTCTATTCATCAAAATTGCGGAGTTTGATCTTCTGTAGAGTAGCTTTGCAAACGCTCCAAAAACTAATCAGAAGGCTTTGGGACTGAAGATTGATCTGGCCATTCCAGTGATTCTTGTAATCCATATCAGCCTCTGTCCTGATGAAAATGTCTTAAAATTCAGATTCCTATTCAATGTTCAGCCTACAGTTCTCTTTACAGAGCAAGTAGTTAATTATTCCATTTGGCTATATTCACAGTTATTGGGACTTAAATAACCGTTCTACCTGAATGTAACTGCATCTATTCAGTATATTTCAGTGGCAAATTCTTCTCTTCTACATAGAATACCAATGATTGCAACAACGGTAAGTGCTAAAATAACCTAATGTAGAAAATTTAGAAGCTATTATTCAGTAAGCCTATGAATACAAAATATGTAAGATTTACTGCAGAATATTGTGGCTTGATTTATTTCGTGCACATGTGATCAAATTCATGTTCAAAAGTTAAATTCTTCTAAATGAGGATTTCCAACTAACATTCTGCAGAACTTATTAATTCCGAAGTATTTCTTCTGCCTATAAAGGCAACCAAACCTAGTGTTAGAACACTTGAAAGCTTTTTTGTGTAATGTTAGTTGTTTAAACTGATTTGTGATTTACAGCTTTAAAATCTTATAAGTAATTTATGCTTTTTAAAAAGTAAACACAAGTATTTGTTTAAACATTTTGTGCTTACACTGTGTCTACTGGTAAAAACGAGCAATAAACAGCTGTTTACTTTGTGGATTATACTTGTATTTCGAAGATAAAGCGGTAAATATTCCTTTTATACTCCATTTCACAAACAGAAAGCATTATTTTTCTGACAATTCATTTTTACTGAGAGTGTTGCATATTAGAGAGAAGGGATTTCAGATTGTAAAGAAATAACAAGAAGTAGTTTGCCAACGCTGAATTCATAACATAAAGAAAGACAGAAAAAATATAGTAGACATTAATAGATCTACATTAGTGAAACTTTTAACTGAATATGTCTGTTTGTATTAGGTTCAGATTTACCTTCTTGAACTCTAAATATTTTGAACTTGAAACTTCTCATTCGTCCTGGGTTTGGTGATACCTGAATGCATTTTGCAATCTGACTCCCCGAGGGATTATGGGATGCTGAAGAGCAAGCTCCTGCACCCCTGTCGTCCACACTGCTACGCGCACGCGCATTGCCGGAAAACTAACACGGGCGCGACAATTTCCGTCAGCCGGAGAGAGAGCATTTCTTCTCAGAAGGATGCTGCCAGGATTTCCAACACGTGCAGACTGCCATGTACCGTCACTCCTTACTTCATGCTCTGACAACAGTATCCTTCCTCTGCTCAAGGTAAGACTCAGTTTTACTTTTTAGTGGACGTGCTGAACACTCAATCAGAGTCAACTTGTTTTCAATCAAAGCGTTGATTTCAATTTTTTTCTTTTGACAGTTTCTGTCGGCAAACTGAAAGCCCAGCACAGCTTGACAACGTTACTGATATACTTAAAACCATTCTAGAGGGCTATGATATACGACTTCGACCAAACTTTGGAGGTAAATCCTTTTCTTTTATTTTTACTTTATTAATTCATTCCAGTGCATTGCTTCTAATTAAAATATTTTCTTTGGAATTCAATTTATATAAATTTCTTTTATACAAGTTATTCGCTTGCTTACAAGTGGATTTCACTGAAGTTTCAATTTCAAAATTAACTAGAATAAATTAGTTAGAAATTAACTAGAGATAAATTATGAAATAACTTATCCGAACATAACAAAGATAAGTTCCAATAATACGCATCTTCTTACTGAGAAAATTTTAAATCTCTAATTATTTAAGCATGCAAAATGAAAAAAAAAATAATTAAAATAGTGTTTTTACATATAACGAACTTGATTTTGGGTAACATAAGCAACAAAATCAAACAAGAGTTTCATTAAGCTAACATGAAATTATTTAATTATCTCAAGGAACGTTATTCACATTTTGTTTTCGATCGATGAATATTTTAGAATGCAAAGTAACATAACGTAGGTTTAAAGTTTGCAGTACTGTCCTAAATTTTCTAAATTATTTATAATTATTCCTTAATTCTATACAGACCATATTCCGGGAAAATTGCGTCGATTTTTAAAGGGAAGAGTTTTGTATATTTTAGTTTTCATGAAATTTATCGGGCATGTAGGTTCCAATTAATTTTAATCGCTCTAGATATATTGTATCAAAAATCTTATTTGTACTAAAAATATCTGAGGGCAAAACAATTTATTTTTATATGAATGGAAATATATGTTTTCTTGTGATGCATTCCTTAATAAAAATTTATAGCATTTGTAATTTTTCACTGTTCATCTTTCGCATTTATACTAAACATGTATTTTTGTGATAACAACATAATTTTAAATCTACTAAGAATTAATTAAACTTACAAAACTCCTTAAATTATTTGAAAATTAATTGTCTTCCTTATATGATGTGATATGCTTTACTTTTCTCTACGATCTTTCATTAGTGTTTCTTAAATATTATTTAATTTGCTTTAATTTAACAGCATCAATTCTAAGTATGGTTCTCAAAGGGATTTCTTTCATGACATCATTAAAATGTTGTAAATTTATTTACTTTCGATTCGTTTCTTAATTCCTTAATTTTTTTTTATTTTGCAATTAGCATTTCCGAATCTTTTACTCGAAATGCATCCACTAACTCGATGCTAACGCAGTTTCTCGTATCAATATTCATTTTCAGATAAAATAGATTTGTAAGTCCTCAATATATTCATTATATTTAATCATATTTGTCTTTCAAATATATTTTTCATTATGACATTCTATTTGCAACTTTACATTATAGACCAGATTCAGGAAATGAAAATACATCAAACCATTATTCAGAGAGGCTTCAACTTTTTTTGTAGAGATAGTATCTTTAAAAAGCGGCTTAACTCTCTGAAGCAGTGAACAAATACTTATGCATCACTTTAAAAGCTTCGTGTAATATTTTAGTATTTAAATTATAGCAGTCTTTCAAATTTCTGTGGCTTCAAACTAACGTACAACCGATCGTTTAAACAAATCTTTTGTTAAAATTATTTTTAAGAGCTCAAATTTATGAGATTAATCTAAAAATGATGTATAAACGACGAGGAATAAAAAAGGATAAATAAAGGGTTAAGGTAGATTAAAGTGAGGTACATTATTTAACAATTAAATTTGTTAATAATACGTTTTCCTGAATTCGTGTTTGAGAAAAACGTTTAAAATAGAAAGAAATTAATAAACCAGAAATGTTACGGGATGGTTAAATTAATGATATTTTATATACAACATTTAATAAGATGGAATATTTTGTAGTCACAATATTTTTAATTAAACATTAATTATTTAATGTTTGATTAGACATTATGCTATTTGTACGCTGTTTTTAAAATTTTAAATGATAGAAAATATTAACAAATCTTAAAATAACGCTGCATAAATATGTAATGCTTCATGCCCTTTCATACTTTGATCTGTCTCTTTTTCCATTCTTATATTGTACTTATAAAGACTTCCGTAAAAGTGATTTTTCTACTGACCGGGAAGAACGCTAGGAAACGGAAGAGCCGCAATCGATACAAAGCAAAATGGATGACTTGTTTTACAAAGGCCACGAGTATCACAGAGTAAATTGTGGATCACAATACGGGTGTCATCGAAAAAAAATGTGACATAAAAGCCTTTGTGGTCGATCTCCACATAATAAGTTATAGCTTTAATTCATTTCCAGTTCAGAGGTAGGGCCAACATCTATTAATATTTAAAGAATTTTTTGTTTCTCAATGCGAACTAGCAGAGTTAGTTTATTAGGCACAGATGATCTATAGCAAGGTGTTACAAAAACATCATGTAGGTTAAAATTCCCGCGTAGAGAGGAAAGACATTGATATACATACTGGTTTCAAAAATATATACTAAATATACAGAACTGAGCGTTGTCAAATAACAAATGTTATTAAAATTTAAAGCATGAAAATAATGAAGAGAAAAATTTTAAAATCAAATTTAAATAAATAATACAAGAACACTCAATATAAAGCACTGAAATATTTCACTTGTTCACTCAGCGAAACCTTTGCATCTAGAATCTTCAGAATTTGAAACTTATAGAAGCTATTCATAATATACTGGGTTTATAATTTTAAGTAACGATATTCAAATAACATTAATTAATATTAATTATTACCGTAACTATTTCTGTTATTTATTTTTAAAATGCTTTTTTCTCTAACACTCGTAAATGTATGCGATCTGAGCTTTGTACAGTAGTGGTGGTGGTAGTAGTATTTTGTAGTTGTGGTACTAAACTTTTTCAATTTTTGTTTAGATGGCACGCGTTAGTCAAAAGGCTGAGAACCGCTACTTTAGGCAATCAGCTAGGTGCACTAAATTATTTACTTAATTAACTAACAACGTCTGTCAAAGCAAAAGTAATATACTAAATAATGAATAAGTAGTTTTAATTACTAAATTCTTCTTTCTAGAGAAGTTCAGATTTTTTTTAAATAAATATTTCATTTTATTACTTACAGCTGTTTTAAAGAGTGGAGATCTACTTTTCCCCACGCCAACTCCCATAAAGATCATTGCCCGACGCCCTTTCCTAATTTGATGATAATCTTTTTTTCCTAATTTGATGATAATCTTTTTTTCCTAATTTGATGACAATCATTTTTAGCTACATTTCTGCCATGACATAAATTCAGCTTCCAAATACAGGAAAGCTGTTTTAGCGTGGAATATTTTCCTTCTTTGGACGTCTTCTGGACTGGCAAAAATGTGAGAAAAATATATTTGTTTCCCAAGCTGTAACAGAGATTCTGAGATTATTTTGTGCAATTGAATAGTTTCCCTATAATTCAATTATTTTCTTATGCCTTCCTACCATAAAATGTAATCTTCTTAGTTAGTAACTTATTTTTATTTGTTTTTACATCTACTGTGATGTTTCTACTGTGATACCTTGAGCTATTTTCCTAAATTTTTATTGCAGCAAGAAATTTCAGGAAATTTGGTTCTCAAGCGATCATTGACAGCAGTTTACTAAAGCATTTGAAATGAATAATTGTGCATTTAATTTCCTTTAAGTACAGTTGAGGCTCATTATAGTGAACCCTAGGTGTCCTTAAGAATGATATCTTAATTACTGATCACTGTAACGAAAGCGGATTTAATATACTCTTATTAGTTAGAGATTTTTTGCACCGGTATTTATAACAAGCATCGAATACAGTAGAATTATTTATTTAAGTCATTTACATTAATTGTCTTCTATAATTTAATGCAACTGGATTTTAAATAGACGCTATACACAGTAAGTGCTAATCTATCCAAACTTTAAAGAATATATAACGCTGATTTAATAAATCCTCAATTAACTATATTTAGTTATAACTATGCTTGCACATGGAATACGTAAATAGAAATAGCATGCTTTACGGTATTCCTACTTGGATAGATTTGGTAGTAAATTATTAATTCCAACTCCTTGTTTAATTATGTTAAGCCTTGAAATACAATTAACAATTTGCATATGACTATCAGTTATACCCGTTATAAATACTTCTGCCAAGAGATAGCTTATTAACTAAGTTTTATCTGGCGGAGCTACTTTTAATTATAAAATAAGAGAAACTATGAATTTGTTTTATATTTTAAAATGATTATAAATTGATATATTGTGTGAGTTTCTTATTTATTAATGCTTTACGACTAGGTGATCCACTGTATATTGGCATGGATATGGTCATTGCCAGTTTTGACAGCATTTCTGAAGTTAACATGGTAAGTTTCAAATTTTAACGGCAATAAAAATATGTATGTTATTTGCATTTCTACAATGAAATTATTTTTATGTTTGCTTTCAGATAGTTTTTGTAGAATGTAAAACATAAAATAATTTTAGTATCGTAATGAATTATTTGAACAAAGTTTATGAGAACTAAATATCCAATATTTAATTTTGCCTAAAATTTGGGCCTCTTAGATTATACAACAACATTATGAAGACCTTGAAAGAAGTCAGTAAACATGATTAGTCAAATATTCTACTGTTATTAAGCTAAAAAAACGTACAGTCAGATCCTCTTAAATTACGCTTAAGTGTCATACATATTGATAAGCGTCATAGATATTAATGAGCATATTAGGGCCATACATACTTAATGACACCGTATTTAATCTAAAAATATTAGTAACGATAATTGAATGGTTACAATTCCTTCATTACTGAAATGCATTGCATGTTAAATGTGACTGAAAATATGCTTTACGTATTAAGAAGCTCTGGAATTGTTAAAGTATACCCCCTTTAGTGCAGTTCTTTAAAATCTGCGTAGCTGAAAAGGCTTCAGTTGTTTAAGCATTTAAAAGGTAATTGCTACCCTTATTCAGAATTATCCTGCCACTTGCAAGTGTATTCAGTGTTAATAAAAGGATATTTTTCTGTCTGTCCATTCAATAGTTATAAAATGTAGTGAACTTTAAATTGAAAATAATATATTTCCCTTCCTAACTCTCAGATATTTAGTATAATTTCATAAATTCTCAATCCATTTTAAGAATTTTTGATATTAATATTTTCAACAGGTACCCACATCACTAAATACAAGCCATAAGTCTTTTTATTGTTCCTCTATTATTGCTGAAATATCTTTCTTTCCTTTGAAATAGCATAATCTTATTTATATAATAGTTATATTAATAAATAATTCTAAACATGAACGTAAAAAAAGTATTGGATTTTCTTGATATCTAAATCTGATATTAATTCTACGCTCTGATTTTTAATTGGTTGTAAAATTGTATCGAAACTTTTGTACAAATAATAACCATTCTTCACATTAATTGGCAAATAAAAGGAATTACACTCCGTTATTTTGCTAACTCTACAATATTTTTGTTATATATCCAGCCGCAGTTTTCAGTATTTTGTTCATAGTATACTAAAGTATGCACGCATTCTTAAATGTTATAGAAGTTTTTCTACAAAAAATAAACTATACTTAAAGCATATCTTTCACTTCAACTTTAATTCAGGGAAAAGAAATTCAGCACAACTGAGTAAGTATAAAAAATATAACTCTAAATAATGTATTCTAAGCACCTCTTTTAGGCCTACCAGTAGCCTAGCGGTAAAGTCGCTGAACACTGGTAGCTCGGTGAGCAGTTTGAATCCCACGAACGGGCTGGCTGTATGGGCAGTTTCGTAGTTATCCCCATGTGTAACGTGTACATGAGCCAGTTTCCCTTAGAAAGTCCTCCACGAAGGCATCCTTCTCCTTAGGCAAATAGCCTTCCAGGCTTTGTCTTGATCATATAAACCAAACGAAAACCAACCAACTAAACACCCTTTTAGTTGAAAACTACTAAACCCTTCCAAATTTTTAAGAAGTTTTTATTTCTTGTATCAGCTGTTGCCTAATATTTAGAATCGCGGATCCCTTTTTAGAATCAAATCTTCTGGTGGAGTCTCTTAATCTTATAAGGTAATGATGTTTAAGAACAGCATTATAAAGTACGGAAATAGGAAATGTGTGGATTGTAAGGTATACATTTAAAGGTGTAGAAATGTTTAGATAGTAAGGGAATATAAAGTAAGGAGATATCTAAACAATTGCCCAATGTCTATAAAGTTAAATTATATTTTAATATTTTCAAGTGTACCATAATATATCAGTTTATCTTAGTTTGCTGTGTGCGTAATATTGTCAAAAGTTAGCCATACAAAAGTGCTCTTCTGGAATTCAATAAATACAATTTGCGTTATAATAGATGTTTTACAATATTGGCGAGAACTTTAGTCATTGTAATACATTGCGTGCCTGCAAGTTAATCTTTACATGTAATTAAATTCAACTTCATATTCGCTCATTACTTTATCATCTCATCATTTATTACTCCATACAGAAAACACTTATAACTTAAAAGCCTGAACTAAGATTATCATCGCATCATTTATTACTCCATACAGAAGACAGTTACAGTTTAAAAGCATAAACTAAGGCATAACTTAAAAAAAAAGCTTAATGAGACAGCTATGATCGCATTTTTGAGCACAGGTTTCGAGTTTTAAATTTAGCTGCTGATAACTGCAAGCAAAAGCCTTATTCTGTATTGATACGGAGTTTGTATATACTTTTCGTATCTATACAGCCAGAGAATCTGCTTTAAAGGGATGTATAGTTGAGAAAAGGAGCAGCGTTAATTTTGAATTTCTTTTGTAGAGAGATTTTGAATTTCTTTTGTATACAACCGAAACTGGTTTTGAAACGCCGTTTTTAGTTCCCTGTGAAATCTGTGAGAACCTCATATTAAGTTGAGTTGAAGTTGGGTAATTTGATTTTAAACCTGAACACGTTCAAAGCACTTACTCTTGAGCTATCTGAAAATAAAGTTCAAACGAAGCTTTCAAAGTTTACAGATATACTTGAACATTTTTCTATACGTTTTCTTAAATTGCGACGTTAATTTTTTCCAAAAAGGGTTTTGTAAGAAAGATTCATTCATTACCTTTCTTTTCCAAGCATTGCAATCAATAGACAAGTTTTATTCTAGATAAGTTGGTGTTTGCATCAAGAACTGTGAGTTTTTCCCTAGCATTGACAGATTCATTTTGATAAAACTTTTGACCATAACACCATTTTAGAGCCCGTCTTTATGATTTCAAACTGTTGCCAATACAGTGCCATGGTCCATTAAAATGCTAGTACCTATGCATCCAGTTTTGTCAATATGTCAGAGCTTTTCCTGGAAATATCCATCTCACTTCATGTACATCAAAAGATACTCATGGTGGCTTACCATGGTCTTCAAAGCTTAGTTTATAGGGTCTGCGTTTCGTAATTTTATACATTTTATTATTTTTATTATTACATTTATTCATGAACACTTATTGGCTACGCAATTATACCTCGCAGAGACGTCAAACCCACATAAATCTCTCGAAAGAGTCGCTAAGAAATCACACAATTATCGCTATAAACATTCTCTGTAAAGTGAATTCAAAACTGACTAGCCATGTGTGTTATCTGTATTTATATTGGGATAAGTTTTCAGAAGCTTCGAATGGATTAGAAGAGTTCTCGAAGGCTCAAGAATTTGAGATAATTTTTTTGGTTCCAACGAACGGCCAAGCACCATTTGCTAGAGGAGATGGAAAATTCAACTTAACGACTTTTTGCGTTTAGAATGTGATTTCTAAATTTCTTATTTTGGTTCTACTTCTTTCATTTTATTTATTTTATTTCTTGGAGCGATTAACGATCCCCTGGAAAAGCGCTGATTGGAACTGCTGTACCATATAATACAGATTTAAGATTTAGATAGATTGTATAGATTGTATCAAATAATCATACTTAAATATTCCAATATACTGACCAATGTGAAACTAGTTATAGACTGCAGCTTTACTGAAGTCTTCTTTCAAAGCAAAATGTAGAAATTATCTGAGAACTTTAATGTTTAGATCATGAAGCGCCTCGAACAGATGCAAAAATAAGTATAATATCAAATTAGTATTATGTCACCATAAGCTGAAGCCGTATAATGTTGGAGCGGATAGCACCATTGAATATTGGTTCTCATCCTAAGTTTGTTTCACAACGTACGGGTTAAATGCATGGGATTTTCATGGTTTTTCCCTTGTATAAAGTAAGCACGAAATATTTTGTCTCAGAGCGTCCTCCACAAAAGCATTCTTTTCCTAGAGAAACAGCCCTATTGTGCAATCTTAGTCAATTAACAAACCATTGAATCAATCTTAGATAAGTAGCTATTCCCACGTGCTTTAACATATTCCACCAGCTAACCAAAAGTTAAAGATTAACAAATTATCATTTTAAAACTAAGATGCCATCTACAATCATTGTCTGAACTGACCAGTTTAATCACGTGAATGAGACATATTTTCTCTAAAATTTAGAAGTCGTAAGTTTTGGAAAGTAACACGAGACCATAATAACTGGACGTATAAATACACGTTTCAAATGTAATTGTGAACAATGATTAGAAAATTTTCAGGTAATCTACATGCACAGTCAAGAATTATTGACTTTCTCCAGATTTTAATGAAATTGATAATAATTTTCTTGGCGCTACGTTTCATATTCAGACATAGAATGATTCAAAATGGCAAAATTATATTTTATCTTTACTGCCAAATACATTTTTCTGAACACTAATAAAAATTCGGTAAATGATTCTGTTGGGATGGAAATTCGTAGTTGTTAAAAGCCTAATCTTAACACTAGCAATGAAATTCTGGATATTTTGAAGCTACTGAAGGAGGAAACCCTAAACTTTTGCAATGATAGCAATCAAGTAGCCCTTTCTTTAAATATGACACATGGAGATTTAGCTGTCTTCAAAGTATGATTTGTTTTCCTTATATATTTCATAATTTGTTCGATTGTCTGAGAACAATTTAAATTTTAAATTTTTCGACATACACACTGAGCATTTGTTTAAATAACATACACATCAAGCACTGAAATATAAGTGATAGATTTATCTTAATCTTTAAATTCAAAATTCTGTAATTAGTATATTAGTATATTTTCTATTTACTACCAAACTAATGTATAATACTTGTATAATGGATAATAATAATCATTATGTAGTGAGAAAACTTTTAAGTCTGCTAAAATAGGTGTGATTATTAGTTTTGCTGATTTTCAAATGAAAATAATATGAGTCGAAAAATATTAAAAATAAATATAAAGCAATGTAAGTTTATCAAAGAAATATAAAATAAGATGTTTAGTGCTGTGTAACAAAAATAAATA